CGCACAGGATCGCCAGAAGTCTTATGCAGACCGGAGAAGAAGAGACTTTACAGTTGAGGTGGGCGATCTTGTATTCCTCCGAGTGCAGGCGATTAGAGGGCATACGCGGTTTGGAAAGACAGGGAAGCTTAAGCCGCGTTACATTGGACCGTATCCTGTGATTGCGAAGGTCGGGGCTGTGGCATACCGATTGGACTTACCTCCAGAGCTCGGTCACATCCATGATGTATTTCACGTGTCCATGTTGCGGAAGTACATCGCGGATCCTTCGCATATATTGCAGCCACAGGAGATTGACTAGTGATGTCAGAATCCGCGATCAACCACTTCAGATCGTTGATTGGAAGATCAAGAGGTTGCGGAACAAGGAGATTCCTTTGGTTAAAGTCATTTGGAGCAGCCAAGGAGTCTCGGACATGACATGGGAGCCAGAGCAAGAGATACGCGACCATTACCCACATCTCTTCGGTACGGATCTTTTCTCAATTCCCTTATTAGAATTCGGGACGAATTCATTTTAAGGGGGTAGAATGTAATAACCCGTAAATTCAACTTTGAAACCAAATTTTAGAAAATTAAATATGAGCCATAAAAATGTCTCTAAAATATTAAATTAGATCCTAACAAAGTTGACCCGAAAAATGGGACCGAAACGAGCGAGAAAAACGGACGAAAACGGGCCAGAACGTCCGGTCTGAACAAGCAGACCGTCCGTTCCAGCCCGAGCGGAACGTCCGTTCCGCTGCTCAGACCGTCCGTTCCGACGGGGCTGAGTTGGACATCGCGCGCCGCCTCTTCTCCTGCCGAGTCACCGCCGCAATTTCGGCATCTCTCCGGCGTGCGCCACCTCCTGCTTCCTCTGGGACACGAGGATTGCAGCCTAATTCCACCATTTCCCCTGTATTCGACCTCCCACTTCGTTCTCTCACTCTCCCACAAACTCTCTCAAATTTCTGAATCTACAATCTTTGAGTAAAGCTTCGATTTCAGTCGAAATCGAACAAGGAACGCATAAATCAACTCTACAGAACATCCCCAACGAAACCCCAAGCTCGAATTTGAGCTAGGTGAGTGTTTTGGATTATGCCCGAAAATGATAATCAAATTGAAAATGGAGATTTGATTGCTTTGAGTGAAAATTGCATGAAATTGGTGTTAGATTTGGATTCCTAATGTTCTAGGGATCATTTTGATGTATAACTTGATGAGTTTGGTGCAAAAATTGGAAAAACCGAAGTTCCTGGTGCGTCTAGAATGAACGTTCCAGGCATGGACCGTCCGTTCTAGGGTTCGCAGGGTTTCGGAGGAAGAAGACGAGTCCAGACCGTCCGTTCTGGACCTGGACCGTCCGTTCTGTACCCAGAACGTCTGTTCCACCATTCGCGGAACGTCCGTTCCATCTTCGCCCAGACCGAAGGGACCAAACCACTAGACCGTCCGTTCCAGACGGGGCAGACCGTCCGTTCTGGACACCTGTCTCTCCGTTTTGGTTCGTTCTTTCGGACCGAACGGAATCCGATGCAACCGACCCCTATACGTGACCTACCTAGACCCGTTTCCTACCCGAACCTCATGAAACTTGAATGAAACCGACTTACGGTAAGTAAAACCTTCGGAACGAGCTGAATTGGTAATCCGGAATGGTCGGACCCAATTTGATCGGATCGGAGGATAAAAAGAATAAAATGAATGTAA